TATAGATATAAAAATAAACAAAGATGACGAATAAAATAAATATTTGTATAAATCTAAACTTCCAAGCCTTCGCCACAACCCATCCTTACAGTATACACGTTCTCGTTACTACAAGTCACGATTATTCGAAGAAAAAGCGTGACAGTAGTTTAAAACCAGAAATTTCGGGTATAAGTAAACTTAAAAAAAACAAAACCAATCACACAATGATTTACTAATAAAATAGCTTCGTAGAGAACGTCTTTTCAAGAAACTCAAGTTGTAACACGCTGGAAAAGGTCGTTCTGTTAAAGGTTGAAGTACTATCTACTCTATAGTAAGAGGTAATGAAAGTATACTTTACTGCTCAATTCGCAAAGTTCGACGCTGTTTTTTCCGTTTTTTATTATTTAAATTATTAACTTGTTAACTTTTATTTGCGAACTTCTGTAGACTAATATTAAAGTTATGATATTTCTTGAAAGATATTTAACACAATAGAATTATTTAATAGATACGATAATATAATTTTATTAATTACATGAGGTTTTAAGGAAAACTATTGATGGACGTGTAACCTGTTACTAAAAACCTTATCAAATAGAGTTTTTACAACTGTAAAATTGCTATTAGAATGTGAAAGAATAGTTTGATTTCTTTTACAACGTGAGTTATTTTACTTTGTAGTTAAAACGAAAGAAATTATAATATATGAATAATGCCCGTTGATTGGCTGCTTAGTTCAACGACTATCTATCTGTTTTGATCATGTGTTGGTAAAGTCAATTTCTGATTGGTCAAAAACCTTATGATAAAGCCCGTGTTTTTCCGAAAAATGCAAAAGTCTCCATGCTATGTATTATATTATCATTATTATATTTTATGTTATTAAAATATCGGGAAAAGTCTAACGTTATAATGTATTTATTATTTCGAAATTTATAAATAACCGCTTTTTTTTAGCTATAATGTTCATAATCATTCAATCGTTTGGTATTTATTTTTTTACACGATTTCAATTATTGAAAATTTGTCAATACAACACGTCATAATGATAACCGTAACTTTAATTTATTGAATTAATTAGAAATAAACTGTCTAATGCTGTAATGTAAGTACTTTCTTTCGTACGTATGTATGACATACCATAAATAATCTACTCTGTCATATCATTTAATTTTATTAATCACAGCATTCCCATCAATCTTTTTTGCCTTTATGCTTATGATATTTACGATTACATCGCTTTTTATCGACTTCATCAACAGTAGGAATACTTTGATCCCATTTAAATACATTAAAAGGGTCATATTTCGTTTTAATCTCTACCAACTTTTCAAAATTTTCTCCAAAATATCTACATTGCCAATCATCTAATCCTCTATCAATATAATTTTGAAAACTTTCTTCGCTAGTGTATTTTTCTTGAAAATGTTTAGAAAATTCATCTAACTGTTCTAAACACATTCTTGTCTTATTATCCTCCACATATGTGCCATCAGAGTTTAACGGTAAATCGATTTGAATAAATATATGATACATAAAACCTCTGTGAACATATGCGGTTTCAGTTCGTCTGTGATTGTTGACATTTCCGCCACCATATAATGTTGCCATTATTATACCGTTACCACATCCAGCTGCTTGCATTTTTGTCATAAATGTGAATAAGCTCTCAACCCCTTTATCAGGTAGCCCTGGAGTGTTAACATAAAAAGATTTCAACTTAACAGGTTTTCGTTCATCTTTATCTTTCATTTCAATGTATTCATAAAGTTTGGATTCATCGGTAGCGTTGTTATTGTTAGTGATCGAGACAAACCAATCTACCATTCTATAACTAGAATCACTTATTGGATTAGGTCTAGATTCATCAAGAAAATTTTTTAAACACTTCTGTGCTTCATTTTTAGGACCTAGATAAACAGTTTGAACCGTTGTTGAATTATCAGTTTGGTTATATTTATGAATAATTTCCACTGCTAAGTTTGGATCAAATTTCTCTCCAAATTTTCAGGCAAGTATAAAATTTTGATTCAATAATTTTTAAGCCTTTCTTTTGTTTTAAGAATGCAATATTGTAAGCTTTAAACCAAACCAAGAGCCTATACGTAAATCTATCAACTCAGCAATCTCGAATGTAATTATATTCACTTCAAATTTTATTGTTTACTGTTGTATTCGATATTTATAACTATTTATGAATTCTTGATAAATATATTTTTAAAAATTTTTCGATTTTAGATTAGTTTACTATTCACACTTCGTTCACTGTATATTCTTCATTTGAGAGATTTAAGTATTTATTATTGCTACTTTAAACAAATTAGCAAAAGCACATGCTTCAAATATTTTGTAACTTAACTCAAATTTGGGTCTTATTTTCTATATAGAATATTTTGGAACAGCTTCAATTTTTCTCAATCCTGACCAAAATTTAAATGCTATGCTAAAAATCCTAAGTAGACTCAAATTTTCAACGTAGGCTACTAGCTTGCGTAGTAATTTACTATATAGCCTACATATTTGCTCATCTCTAGACATAAGTGATCCAACTTTAAAACATTAAGATTTTTTTTTATTAAAAAGCATAACTTTGAGTTTTGGGAATTTGAACGAGTTTGGGACTTAAATTATCTCAAATTTATAAATTCAAATTTAGCATAAAACTTGTTTACTTTGAGCAAATATTTATAACTATTTGGATGAACTATAAACTTAAAAGCCCAAAATTTTATTTTCCTTTACACCATTAGACACCGGATTGTAAAATTACAGTAATTTACAAATTTTGTTGATAAGTTACCAAAATGGAAAATTACCGGTAACAGTAACCTATATTTTATTCCGAGAGTCTCGAGTCTCCGTGTTAATTATCTACCATTTCGAACATTCTGCGAGCATTTTGTAACTTAATATCAAAAATTCATGGTAATTTACCACAGTAGAGCTGCCATTAGCAACCCTGATTCGACATTTAATAATATTTTCTTCACAGAATCTTAAATTTTGTTGGATGCCACAACTGGCTGTGTTTTCTAAATCTGTAAATTTAGAAAATCTTAGATTCTTAAACAACATGACTTTTTTTTTTTGTCTTTATAATTTAATTAGCTATTACAAATATATTTAAAAATATTATAGCCAACCAATAAAATGTTTACTGTTCCTTGTTATTACGCAACTATGTTTCGGAACCATCTTATTAGTACTTATAACCTTATTTTTACGGGTTTATATCCTTTAATTTAATAAAACCAGGCGACATAATCATAACAATGTAAATTACGCCACACAAAAAGAAGTTATGCAGGTGCATAACGTATAAGTTCTAATTTATATACTAAGCCATATAAACGCGCAAACCTACGTATAAGTTTTAATTTTCATACTAAGCCATATAAACAAACAATGGGACTTATCAAAACCCCGACGAGTTGGCACGCATTAGTCGTCAATTTTTGTTGGATTTTTGTTTGTCAGGTTTTTGATCCAGACCCACAAATAAAAACTTCAAAATACCATTGCTAGCAATGCCACAGATTTTGTTTTACACAGCTTCTTAGATACTAAAATAAATCAAATAAAATACTATTAAATACCATTTTTGTATCTAAAATAAATCAAATACAATACTATTAAATACCATTGTAAATTTTTGTATTTAAACACTAAAAGACTTTCTATCATTCACCCACTCGCAATAATCTTTTACAACATTATATTCATAATTCTTGTCAAAAAAATATTGTATATTTTAAAAAAAAATTAATATTCACAAACTTGAAAAGATCAATTAAAAATGATTTCGTATATGTACATTATATTTTTTTTTATTGCGACTATCCCTTATCAAATTTATTCAAACCGAGGTTTTAGGTGTCATAGAGAAGAGTCACTTCAAATTTGTCTCGATGAATCTAAACTTAAGGGACCTTATTATTTTTTCAGTGACTGCGGTGATATTAACAACAGCAAAACCTACAAAAGTAATCTCGAGAATCCCTACTGTAATGATCTTATTAGTGAGAAGAACAAACGAGTAATTTATTATCCAGTAGCTTTTGTTGAACCATTCGACGAATTCGATGTTAGTGAAGCAATTAAATGTGGTGCAAAAAATAAATTTCCCGTTGTTGCAAAAGCAGGTGGCCATTCTTATGAAGCTTATAGCATTGGTGGTAGAAATTGTGCACTGGTTGTTGATCTTAAGAACTTCAATAAAACAGTCATTAATGAAAGCACTAAAACTGTAGTAATTGGAGCAGGAAATAGGCTAGGAACACTATATTGGAAATTAAATCAAACAGGATTTGCATTTCCAGCCGGTAATTGTCCTAGTGTTGGTGTTGGAGTTATATTAGGAGGTGTAAGTATTGTTTTAAATGTAAACGGATATATTGTACAAGCAATCAAGCAAGTAAAATAAAAGGATTTACATCTTTTTTTTCAATAGGGTGAAGGACGTCTCACACGAAAATATGGAATGGCATCCGATAATATCGTTGATGTCCAAATTGTCTTAGCAGATGGGACAATAGTTAATAGTGTTAATTCCCAAACTGTCTTAACAGATGAGACAATAGTTAATAGTGTTAATGTAGTTAATAGTGTTGATGTGATTAATGAAGTTAATAGAACTAATGAAGTTAATATAATTAATGAAGTTAATAGTGTTAATGTAGTCAATAGTGTTAATGAAGTTAATATTGTTAATGGTGTCAAAGAATATGAGGATCTTTTTTGGGCACTTAAAGGCGCGGGAAGTGCTGGTTATGGCATCGTAACCAGCTTAACCCTCAAGATTCATAGTATACCAAGTTTTGTAACTTCTCTGAGGCTTAAATATAATTTTACTCTTGGCGCGACAAAAATGTTATATAAAAAATTGAATGAATATGGAGAGAAATTTGATCCAAACTTATCAGTGGAAATTATTCATAAATATAACCAAACTGATAATCCAACAACCTCGGTTCAAACTGTTTATCTAGGTCCTAAAAATGAAGCACAGAAGTGTTTAAAAAATTTTATTGATGAATCTAGACCTAATCCAATAAATGATTCTAGTTATAGAATAGTAGACTGGTTCGTCTCGATCACTAACAATAAAACCATTACCGATGAATCCAAACTTTATGAATACATTGAAGATGAGGATAAAGATGAACGAAAACCTGTTAAGATGAAATCTTTTTTGTTAACACTCCAGGGCTACCTGATAAAGGGGTTGAGAGCTTATTCAAATTTATGACAGAAATGAAAAAAGCTGGATGTGGTAACGGTATAATAATGGCAACATTATATGTTGGCGGTAATGTCATTAATCACAGGCGAACTGAAACCGCATATGTTCACAGAGGTTTTATGTATCATATATTTATTCAAATTGATTTACCGTTAAAATCTGATGGCACATATGTGGAGGATAAAAAGGCAAGAATGTGTTTAGAACAGTTAGATGAATTTTCTAAACATTTTCAAGAAAAATACACTAGCGATGAAAGTTTTCAAAATTATATTGATAGAGGATTAGATGATTGGCAATGTAGATATTATGGAGAAAATTTTGAAAAGTTGGTAGGATTAAAACGAAATATGACCCTTTTAATGTATTTAAATGGAATCAAAGTATTCCTACTGTTGATGAAGTCGATAAAAAGCGATGTAATCGTAAACATCATAAGCATAAGGGCAAAAAAGATTGATAGGAATGCTGTGATTAATAAAATTAAATGATATGACAGTATAGATTATATTTATGGTATGTTATATATATACATACGTACGAAAGAAAGTACTTACATTACTGCATTAGATAGTTTATTACTAATTAATTCAATAAATTAAAGTTACGGTTATCATTATGACGTATTGTATTGACAAATTTTCAATAACTGAAATCATGTAAAAAAAAAAAATACCAAATGATTGAATGATTATGAACATTTTGCGGGTTCATAAGTAATTTATAGCTAAAAAAAGCGGTTATTTATAAATTTCGAAATAATAAAAACATTATAACGTTAGACTTTTCCCAATATTTTAATAACATAAAATATAATAATGATAATATAATACATAGCATGGGGACTTTTGCATTTTTCGGAAAAACACGGGCTTTATCATAAGGTTTTTGACCAATCAGAAATTGGCTTTACCAACACATGATCAAAACAGATAGTCGTTGAACTAAGCAGCCAATCAATGGGCATCATTCATATATTACTAGAGTGGTAGACTTAAATTAGGACGTAGAAATATTTGAGTCAAGTATTAAAGCCTTTGTTTACTGCAGTTAAAGTCAGGCAGAAGTTTGTCTGTACGGCTAATAAATTCAATTTAATTTTACATTATCTATACAGTTTAGAGTATTTTTTTAAAAAAATGAAAACTAATCATAATAAAATAAAAAAAAGCTATATAGAAGGTTTCATTAGAGCTGTAGAACTTCATAGCCGAAAATAAGATCTAATTCTCGTCTGTTTAAAAAAGTTTGTATAGTAATAACTTCTCAAATCCCAATAAAATCAACTTATTACTAAGCCAATTTTTTTAAACAGATAAATTAGATCTTATTTTTGACTACAGCTTTAATAAAACCTTCTATATAGCCTTTTTTTTACTTATTATGGTTGGTTTTTGGTTTTTTTTCAAAAAAAGTCTTCTAAGCTGTATAAATAATGTAAAATTAAATATAATTTATTAGCAATCAGATGAACTTCTGCCTATTGCAGTTAATAAGAAGGTTGGGTTTTAAGTATTTATTGAATATTTATTTTATTAATAAATTAAAGTATAATTAGTTTGATAGCAATAATATTTATATTAAATAATGAAGCTAATCATTGAAATTATTATATAAGGTTTCTTACTTGATTTATAGTAGCTGGCATATTGTTTAATATGTTCAAGCAGCAAAGAGACTAAATTCATATAAACAAATATATATTTATATACATATGTTAGCAGATACTTCTGTAGTATATAAGAATAAGGCTTTCAATAGAGTTTAACCAAAATAATAAGGCATAAAAATAACAAAATTAATGGGAACATGATTTCAACCAATTATTGAATTTGGTTTGACTTAATTAAATTATTAGTACTATATAATTAATGCTATACAACAATTATTATTAGTAGTCACACCTCATATTATATTAAGAATCATCACAAGCCTTGATCATGATATTGAAACCAGGGATGGTCTAATTCTTTTGCTATGATTTTTGACAATCACTGATTACCATTTCATCTACCCAAAAAAAAATTTGAAAAAAACAAAAAAATGTAAAAAAATCATTCACAAATTAAAACAACTATTCAAAAATAATAAATATAGTCAAAATTGTGTATCAAATACTTAGTGATTAATACTCCAGTTTTTTGTTCTACATGTAGTATCTATATCAAAGTATATATAAAAAAGGAGAGAGTAGATTGTTCTTTTTATATAATGAAAGAAGACTAAATTCCTAGATTGCATTTTGAAGATAAAACCTTTTAAAAAGATTTTAAAGGAGAATATAAACTTTGAGATTTCATAAATCCAAAGCCTCAACTACACAGATATTTTTTGCCAAGATTTATAGTTAGTTACATAACAAAGCACAGTAATAGTACATACTAGGCATGTTTATTGTTACAAGAGAAAGAAATTATAGTAACATTAATTTTTTTCTGGTATTTTTTTTATTTTAATTTATCTTCTAAAAAAATAATACTACACAAAAAATAAATGCTGTGATCATACTTTAACAAGTACATGATAAGCGTAAAGCTTTTAATAATGCTTAGCTAGAACGGTAACGCTAATACAAATAACATATAGAAACTATTTATTAAACATGTCACCTCTATACCAACACAGCGAAATTTAACTGCAAATGAAATAGTAGTATCATTGTTGGCATTGAAATCATCCAAAATAATGGGTTGCAGATTATTTGCTACTACTTGTTGTATCCATGTGATAGCCGATATGATTAGTAAATCATTATCAGCTGCGGCTGTGGCTGCGCCACAGATCCGGACTTTGGGGCCGCCATGGTCGACTCTACATATTGTATGCGAAAAAATTCGGGTATAATGTTGAGGGAGTAATTTTACATATAATACTTGTCATATCCTTGCTGAATTTTAGACACTTTTCCAAAAAAGAAAAACGGGTTGGTAATATCGGGCAAATTAGTGCAACAGTAATGCGCATTATGCGTATAATGTGTATAATGCACAGTTTTGTAACTAGCGTATGATGAGAACCTTTCGGAATATTGCGGAACGGGGTTTGAATATTTCGGGACAGTACTTATGCTAGAAATAATTTTAGTGCATTATGTTGACATGCCGCATTACAAATATGTGCGCATGATTATGTACGGACATGACATGCGTATTACCAATCACTAGGTGGCATGATCAGTAAGGAAATCACCATAAAAATTACCTAAATCCCGAGTGCAGCAATTCCATAATACCAGATTTGTATTTCGAAATACTTGATACGTGCAAACTAACATTATAAAAATTAATTAGAATTCCGTTATTGTTAAATAAATTTATAATACTGTAATTTTTATTAATTTACGCAGCGCATATACATATGTATATTTTAATGCATCATAAATATTTCAAATTATAAATGTTTCAAGCTACTAAAATGTGCATATCTGACAACGCACAAAAGAAAATCTATCGCTATGAGGCGCAAGATGTCTAATTTCTAATAGATATTGTGAAACAAAAATATATAAATAGATTTATTATTGGAATAAAAATAAATTATCTCATTCAAGTGTATAAATCTATATTAGTGTAGTGTTGTATTACTAAATGGCGTGTGTGTATCTACAATTATCCCAGTAGCACTGATAGATTTTCACTGATTAACATAAATTTGACCAATCAAATCTTATAAAAACAACGGTATTAGGTTTACGATCGTAGCAAGGATTAAATTATCGCATTCGACAATTTGCCCAATATTGATGTTATTCGGCAATTTATAATTATGATTAGCAGGGCGTTATCGGCTGGGTTTTAATTTAAATAAACATGATTACATCGTAACACATGAAAAAATAACAAAGAAAATAACTAGACGAAATAAATTTGTGATCTTCTGAGTCTTCTGGATAAGGTAACTACCCCCAGACACAGGATTGCCAACAAAATGATATCAATTTTCGATCACGTGATAATTATCCCAAAACAAATTACGCATTATCGTTATGTAACCTAACACGACCAGAAAGATCAAAAACAAACGTTCGTTTTGAACAAATCTCTTTTATTTCAAAAATTTGCTTGAGAAAACGTTTTTCATGCTCTGACCAAAAAAATTCCTTAGGCAATTTTACTATATACTAGCACCTCACTAACCCAAACATAAACGAATTCTAAAGAAGTTTGTCTGTATCACGCGATCGAAAAATTTTTTGCTGGTTAAGCTGGAGAAGATGTGGGGATATGTCGTATCTGGAATATTTAGATATCTAAATAGCTCCTGACTAGAATTTACATGCATGAAGATCTAATTTCAGGGGCATAATTTTTAGCCAAGTGCTACTTTATATATCTAAAGTAGAAACTTCAGATTTGATCACTTTGATGCGAAAGAATAAATTTACGGGCGTTTTTTAAAAACCTGATCTTATCGATCAGTAAAATCTGTCAATGTGACTGCTTCCTGCATTTTTATTGGCTACTCTTGATGCACATGACCCATGAGTGTTACACAAATAAGTAACATAGCAAGCACGTGCAGTATACAAGCGTTAAGTGACAATAATTACGATGACTCTTAGACCAAAGAAGCTTTTCCAATAGCCTATTCTCGCCTAACACTAACAATAACATTAAAAGCATAGTGTATGGATAGCAATCTTTTCAGATCACTGGATGACACTCATTATAATAGATAAGTTAAATTGGTTCTTTAGAATGATTTAAAATTAACGTTATTATGCTATATAACATTTTAACAGTCATTTATTTATATAATAGATCGAATTACATTCGACCGATTAATCTGCGAAAATTAATTAAACAGAATTGCCGGTATTATTGATCCGCTATAACGATCTATAAATCATAATACTGTATCAATATTGAAATAATTATTTATAGGTTGATTAATTTAGATTCATCTAAGAAACTTACGAATCTTAAAAGAGATCATATATCAGCATAAAGAGAAATTTACTACGACCACTGTACATCAATAGTTAAAACGATAATTAGACTAAGTTT